GGATCTAATTCGAATCAATCACTCACTCTTTTTATCCACAGCGATCTTTTAGATCTTCAACTTGTAGCTTCATTTTCTGACCCTTTTCACTCATTTTCAAAACCCTTTTGTTGATTAAGATTGATTCTGATTTCAATTCTGGGTTTTCCTTTTGATGGGTATCAATCGAATCTGTTGACTTCAAAGTCTGTGTGTGACTTCTTCCTCTTACACATCTGCTTCTTCAGATTCTCAGGTACTCACTCATTTCCCGATTTTGAAAAAAAAAGTTAGGATTTTTTTAGTGTTCCCTGATATATACATGATTCACTCTTGCTTATCTGATCTATCATCAAATTGGGTTTCCAGATTCTTGAGTTAATAATTGGTTTTACTCAGTCAAGTCTCGTTTACGCGTTGAGTTTTTTTTCAGATACTTATCAACCTCTAAGACCCTTCACTTTATAACTCTTTTGTAATTGCAGATTCGTAAAGCTATAAAAGTTCGTTTCTACTTGTTTTGTTTTTTTTCTGAATCCCTTTTGACGGATGTTGAAGAAAAAAAGGGTTTCTCTGATGAGATGAGGGATGTTATCAACGTTGATGAAACTTTTGAGTGCTTGTCTGTGGCCTTCTTCATCGGGCAAGAACTCTGATTCAACAGGGAAACAAGATGGATTGTTATGGTACAAAGACTCTGGTCAGCACTTGCTTGGTGAATTCTCAATGGCAGTTGTTCAAGCCAACAATTTGCTTGAGGATCAGAGCCAAGTTGAGTCTGGTCCTTTGAGTACTCTTGATTCTGGTCCTTATGGTACCTTTATTGGAATCTATGACGGTCATGGCGGGCCTGAGACCTCCCGCTTCGTCAATGATCACCTTTTTCAGCATCTAAAGAGTGAGAAAACTGAATGATATGTATGAATATATTGCTTCTGAATCACCAGCATGGATACTAAAATCTTGTTGAATCTGCAGGATATGCGGCAGAGCACGCTTCTATGTCGGTGGATGTAATTAGAAAGGCATATGAGGCGACCGAAGAAGGGTTTTTAGGGGTTGTGACAAAACAGTGGCCGGTTAAACCACAGATTGCAGCGGTTGGATCTTGCTGCCTGGTGGGTGTTATATGCGGAGGGATGCTCTACATCGCTAACGTTGGGGATTCACGTGCGGTTCTTGGAAGGGGTATGAAGGCGACAGGTGAGGTTATTGCGCTTCAGCTCTCAGCGGAACATAATGTGAGCATAGAGTCAGTTAGACAGGAAATGCGCTCCTTGCACCCGGATGACTCGCATATTGTCGTCTTAAAACACAACGTGTGGCGTGTTAAGGGCCTTATTCAGGTATGTTTCTCATCAGGATTTTTTTATATTTAATTTGATTTTGGGGTCACAGGATTGAGCTTTTATTCAGATACATGGTCTTATTCACTTGGAGTATTGATTTAGAGTTGCCCTTGTCATGTTAAGGAAAACCGGACAAAGTCTGAATTATATTGCCTTGAACTTATTGTCACGGGCTGGTTTTTGAAGCCAAAGTGCTAGAATTTTATCCAAAAAACCAGGGGTGAATTATAGCATATCAAGAACAACCATGAAAGCTGACGGTGTTATTGTAATAGTATGGAGATGAGGTCCTTGCGGTAAATTAGGCTGTACTCTCAAATGGCTTGTTTTGTAGGAACTTGACTTTGTCACGACGAATACCAAATCCATCAGCCTGTGAGAACGGTTGTTGAAAGTTGGACTTGGTGGTATCTGAAAGCTAGTTTGTATATGTTCCTACATTAAGCTTACATGTACATACTTGTTTTGTCTCCATAACTGCATGTATACAGTAGGCGCAAATGCCTAGATATGTTTTTTCCTTTGCCATGTCAAGATAAAACCTGAAGATCGAAATTGAAAAGGCTAGATCTGTTTGTTCCTTTGCAGATATCTAGATCCATAGGCGACGTGTATCTTAAGAAGGCGGAATTCAACAAAGAACCATTGTATACAAAGTACAGAATCCGCGAGCCGTTCAAAAGACCGATCTTGAGTGGGGAACCGTCTATAACGGTGCATGAGCTCCAACCAGAAGATCAGTTCTTGATATTCGCTTCTGACGGACTATGGGAGCAGCTGAGCAACCAAGAAGCTGTTGACATCGTTCAGAACCACCCACGAAACGTGCGCAAGACCCATTTCTTCTATTTCTTATTTCAGTAGAAACCTATACGAAACCAAAACTCACTCGTCCTATTGCTGTGAAAATGAATGCAGGGGATTGCACGGAGACTGGTGAAGATGGCACTGCAAGAGGCAGCAAAGAAAAGAGAGATGAGATACACTGATCTGAAGAAGATAGAGAGAGGAGTGAGGAGGCATTTCCACGACGATATCACTGTGGTCGTCATCTTCCTTGATACCAATGTAGTAAGCTCTGCCAAAGGACCGCCTCTTTCTATCCGAGGCGGCGGTATGACCTTCCCAAAGAAACTCTAAAAGTTACTACTCCACCTTGTAGGTTCCATCTTTTGTAGAAAAAAAAGGTCACTCCTTGTTGGTATAAGAATGTATAATTTTAACGTGAAAAGGCCACACACTACTGACGTTTGAAACTCAATCCCAGTAATTATTAATTTTTATTTGTTGAAACAGACTTTGTGTAATGATGTAATTGTTTGTTGATGATGAATGAATGTAGCCCATTCTCCTTTCGTATTCATGTACATGGTTTTATCATTTATGCATGCTTATGTGGCGTTTGACATAAGTATTCTTTGCAGACTTTAACTTTCTCCTATTCTGGTACTGTCAATGGAGAAACCGATTCGCTATTCGTAAAGATAGTGGTACCGGTAGAGATTTGGTAGAGAGAGAATGTGAGTTGTGCATAAATTTATGGCAATGGTGGACCGTAAAGGGGTTGATGTAGCCAGAGAGAAGTAAATAGGGAGGGTGATGCAATAGTTCTTGCCTCCTCACCCATAACAACTAGACAAAAAAGGATTTGGTTTTAACAAGCTTTGGTGTTACAATGTGACATTAAAGCTCGAATCTTTCTCTTGAGAATCTTCAATGGAGTAAGAGAGAGAGAGAGATGTGTCATTAGGGTTCTTAAAAAGC